AAAGTGTTTGAGGCTGTAGAGGAGGCAGCAGGAACGTGGGTGTGGGCCTGGGAACTGTTGGGCTCTGCTAATTGTACAGACATTTCTCAAGGCCCTGCTGACTCCAATTTATGATGTGGCCACATTTTCCCACCCTCTGTAGCCCCCAGCCCCACGGTGGACCCCACAGCCAGAACACCTCTCTCACTCATGCATCCCCCACCTCCACCAAGCACCCAGCAGGGGTAGGGGCCCCGGTCATCTCCATCCCCTTCCCTTCTGCATACTCATTATGCCCGCATCAGGACGGCCCCTCACCAGCCCCAATATGGCAGCCCTTCCTGCCCCCACCGCTTTCCTCACACTGCCTCCCCATCAGCCCCGAAGTCTCCACCCCTCCCCAAGTCCTGCCTGTTCTTTAAGACCCAGAATAAGCCCTACTTCCAAAGCCAACACCCACACTACTGAGGGGTGGCATCCTAGGGTCGCCAGTCTCTTCTCCACCCACAAGGATGCAGCTATGGGTTCTCTCTGCCCCCACCCAGTGCTCAGCCCCACGTGTGACCAGAATACCCCCATCCCACCCAAGCCCTGTACATGCATGATGTTGATTTACTGACAGTGTGGGAGTTTTCCCCTGTGCACCCCTCCCCCTATAAAGAAGACTATTTCTCAGGGACAAGTTTATTACAGGGAACACACTAACCTCTTTCATAATAGCAAAAGGTGTAAAAACTACAAAAATATCTGGCTCTCCAGTGTGGGCAGCTCAGTGTGGGGCCTGGTTTGAGTCGTGACTTTGCTGCCCAGCAGGAGCCCACAGCTTCCTCCTGGGCTGCCTTACAGGCCACAAGGCCCAGGAGCCTTCCAGCCACTCCCCAGAGAGGAGAGGGGGAGAGCTGGGGGAGAGAGGAGGCGCTGTGGCCAGCTCCACAGCATGAGGGCCAAGGCTGAGCTGGAGCCGAGCTGAAATGCAAAGCTATTCTGGCCCTGAATCACCAACCCCCTTCCCAAGAAGGCTTCAATGAGGCCCTGCAAGGCTAATGGCAAAGCCAGGGTAGAGAGAGGCCTGAACGTGGCCACCCCAGCTCCACTGGCTCCTGGACCAAAGGCCTGATCTGCCAGTTGCTTTTTCCAGAGCCCTTGCTGGCACTCCACGGCCAAGGCAGACCAGAGCCCTCCTGAGCACAGACCTCTACCCAACAGTGGTGACCTCCCAGTCCCAAGGCTGATCACTGGAGCTTTGGTCCCAGGGGACCTGCTGGCAGAGTGGGTGCTGAGAGGAGGGCTGCCATGGCAGGGAGAGCTGAGAAGGAAGTAGATGGTAGGCGGGAATGTGCCTCAACACAGAAGGCCCTTCCGGTCCTCAGGACTGGGTGCCCTTGGCCTGGGCACCTGACTGGGCCGTCTTCCGGAAGGCCTGCAGGGCCGGGTTGTGCAGCAGCGTGTAGGCCAGACCCCAGCGGGCCCTGGCGCGGCTAGCCCTAGACCCTGCTCCCTTGGCCATGGTGTCCTTTGTCTGCAGCAACTGCATCCCTGAGAGGGCGAGACCTTCTGTCAGTCACTCAACAAACATCCAGCCAAGCCTCCCTGGCCCCCAGACCTGAGCAGAGAGTCTGAAAATCCTGTGCATAGTGAGAGTGGTGAGCCTGGTTTCCATGTGCCGGCTCAGAGTGGGACGTGAGGAGAAGCATGGGGCTGTGGAGGGGAGTGTGCAAAGGCTTAGATGTCACCCTGCAGGCGGCAGACAGAAGAGGGAGGGGATGAGGCCTGAGGAGAGACTGGAGGTCCAACCAGGACAAGGGCCTGGAGCTTGTCGCCCTCCCTGATACACACTTCCTGGACAGGAGGAGGTCACACTCCCTGAGGGAGAGGTGGGGGGTAGGGGCTGGCCTGGAGTGGTGGTCAGCATGACAGAGCCCCTTAGCAAGGTAGCCATTTCATTCTGTGTGTGCACACACATTGGGCGTGTGTGTGTATGTGTGTTCATATCATGGAAAAAATTACCCCGAGACTGGACCAGGAGGGGCAACCACTGGCAGCTGAGGGAGAGAGGAAGTGAGAATTTTCCTGGCGCTCACTCTGTGTGCTGGGAAGGGGAGCATGCCTCCTTCCTGGGAGAGCTGGGTAGACTCGATTCCCCCCCAATCCAGTGGGGGGTGGGGGGTTCACCTTCTTCCTCTCCCGGTCTGAGGCCGTCCTGGGGGGCTGCCGGGGACCAGGGCAGGGGGCTCCGCGCTTGCAGGAGCAGGTTGCAGAAGGCTGTCATGGCTGGATGCGACTGGCTGACTTCAATCTTCAAGAAGTTTCGGTATGTGTGGTATCCTGGAGTGGGATGGGAGATGGCAGCGCTGGGGAGGAGGGGCTTCCAGCAGTCTAGAGGAGCTCAGACGCCCCCTAACACACACACAGGGAGTGTGCATGCACACCCTGCCCCCAAGCAGGTAGACACGCCAGCACGTGGCCAGCACAATGCATGTGGGCACGTGCACACCTGCCAGAACACACCCCACGCGTCGCACACGCCTGCCACACACACCTCGGAACCACGCGAAGCCAAGACACAGCAGCACACAGCACACACCCTGCAGAAAAATGTGCACTCGGCAGGGCACACACTGCACGTGGCTACAGACATCCTCCAGGAACAGATGGGCACATGGACCAGGGCAGGGTAGACCCTTCCTTCACTGCCTAGGCAACCTGAGCAACCCCCAGCCCCTGCCCAGGGACCTTACCCGGGTCAAGAGTGGCGGCTCTTGGTGGCAGCAGGCTGAGGTCAGTCTGGCCAAGGTGAACGGCATTGTAGAGGGCAGAGAGGAGCACTCGCCAGGCGGCCACCATGGCACCCACCAGCACGTTGAGGGGGAAGAGGAGAAAGGTGGTTGCGTACAGCACTCGCCTGGCAGGGCAGGACAAGAAAGGTTGAGGCAGCCCCTCCCAGCACCCCTTCTCCAGGGTCAGTGTCAGACCTAGGTGCCCACAGCTGCTGTGTATTTATCAAGCACCTACTGTTTATCGAGTATGCCTTCTGTGTGCCCCACCCTGTGCCAGGCCTTCCAGCTCTCAACCCACCACCCTGGAAAACTGGTGGTGTTACTCCCTTCTGTAGGAGGGTAACTGGGGCCCAGAGAGATTGGGAGACTCAGCCAAAGCTATCTGGCTACTCAGTGGCAGAGCTGGGATTTAAGTCCATGTCCACCTGGGTCTTTCTATTATCCTGGTGTCTCCCACCTCCCTCCTCTGGGTCCCCTGTACACTAACTCCAAGTCCTTCCTGGGAAAGAGGTTCTCCCACAGCCTTGCCATCTGACACAGAACCTCCTTCCTGCATGGTTTTGAGAGGAAAGATGATCTGGCAGAGAGCAGCACTGACTCCCAAAGCAAGAAAGACCCATGGGGGTATTTCTGGCCCCCTGACATGTATTTAGGCCACTGTCCCTTTTCTCTGTGGCAAGCTCTTTCTACCATCTGCTGGCCTCCCTAATGGAGAAAGGGCAGAGATGGCAGTGGAGGGAGAAGGGCACAAAAAGAGAGAGACACTGAAGAAGAAGAGGCTGAGGGCCTGAGGGAGCCACAAGCCCAGGAGCCACCTCACCGGTTGGTCAGCTCTGGGCGTCCATGTTGGGTCTCCAGGAAGACCCACTGGGCTGCCATGTTCTGCAGGGTCACAACGAGGGCCAAAGTCAGCCAGAAGGGCCTGCAGGTGGGGAAGGGAAGGTGGTCACTGTTAGCAGCCCTCTGAAAAGGGGTCCCAGAGCCCTCCACTCATTGCCTCACTCACCACGAGGACTCCAAGGATCGTAACAGCAGAAGGTTCCTGCCATGGAACACAGGCATGAACACCAGGAAGGCTAGGGCTGTAGTTCCCAGGAAGAAGATGATCTGCTGCACCAGGAGCCCTGCCAGGGGGTGGGAATGGCAAGGACAGATACCAGATTCTATGGGAGCTGGCCCACCCCTGCCACTGCCAGGAATTCCAAGGGCTTCAGAATTGGTAAGACCTGGTTTCAGATCCCTGCTCTGCTACTGCCTAGCTGTGCTGCCTTGAATGAGTTACTTAACCTCTCTGAGCCTCAGTTTCTTCCTCTGTAGAATGGGGATAATAGTCCCTACCTCAGATGGCTGTCATGAGGATCTAATGAGATCATGTGTGCAGCAACTCTTTGAAAACCACAAAGTGCCTTGCAAACGTTATTTTTCCCAAATTGTTCCCAAGTTCTTGAGGACAAGACCACATTTTAAATTGATGTTTGCATTCCTACCAGCCAGAGCCTGGCATGTGGTAGACGCATGAGAATTGTCTACTGAAACAATCAGGCCAATTGATTACATAGGATAATGTGTACAAAAGGGCTTGGGAGGTACAACATCTACCAAAACAAGAAATTATGACTTCTACTGCTAGTAATTTCTCCACTCCTTTATCACCCTTCTCTTCCTCCTCCAGGGAGGTGAGAACTAAAGAAACCAAAGGGAGAGAAATCAGGTCCTTGGATTTGTGAAGCTGGCCCCAGCCCACATGTTTCACAGAGCTTCTTCACTGCAGTGCCTGAGGGGAAAATCAGAAACTCGGGGCGGGAATCTGGTCCAACTCTTTCAGGGCAGGACCCCCTTTGCAATTCCCAACCATGTCCACAGAACTCTGTTTGCATACCCCCAGTGACAGGGAGCTCATTACTTTTTGAGGCAGCTCATTACGGCACAGCCCTCCTTTACACGACCAGCTATGTGCCACCTTGAACTTGCCACCTCCAGATCTGGGTCCACACTCCATGTAAACACATGGTGGCACCCAGAATTCATTTTCATGTAAAGGGTACCCATTCCCTGAGGACTCCTGCACCCCCCAACCTGAGTGACCTTTCTGAGGGCAGAGGAAGCAGGGTGGGTCCCTGCTCTTGCTCTTGCCCCAGAGCCTACCCATCACAGACAAACACTCAGGGCAGCCAGAACTTGCTGACCACTCTTCCCCTCCCCCGCTGGGGCCTGTGTCTGGGGTGGGACCCGGGTCAAGAATGGATGGAGTGGGCAAGTGGGGCTCACCAAGGCAGGTGAAGGCAGTCTGGTAGGCACTGAAGCTCAGCCAACAGAATATGGCTTGGCGGGAGGCGGGAGGGCCTTGGGGTGGGGGACCCAGGTCCAGGGCAGCTCCTCGGTGCAGAGCTTGAAGGTTGGCCCTGGAGTGGGAGTGAGGGAGGCAGGGACCTCAGGGATCAATACACACTCCTTAAATTCCTCCTCTGGGCCAGCCTCTAACAAAATTCCCGGTCTAAGTACAATCCATGGCCATCAGCAGGGAAGCCCAGAGATGTGGGAGCCCAGAGGAGGCCACTAACCCAACCTGGAAGGTCAGGGAGGGCTGCCTGGAAGAGGTGATATCTGGCAGAATCTTAAAGGTGACTAAAGGAGACAAAACCAGGCAGAAGGCTCAACCTGAGCCAAGTCAGAAAAGTGGGAAAACAACAGTGAGAATGGAAGTGACAAGCAGCTCAGCCACCAGGGCAGGAAGCAAGGCAGGCAGGGACTTGGGGGACCTTGAATGCTAGAAGAAGTAGGGCCCACCCTGTGGGAAACGATCCCTGGGCAGGAACTCTGAGGGCTGTCAAATTCATGGCTAAGTGACCGGACCACCCCCTTCTTCTCTGCCTCTCTTCACTCACCACAAAAGGGCAAGATTGGCAGCTTGGTGTCCAGTGTCTGTCACAGTCTCACTGTCCCCACCAGGCCCCTCCTCACCCACACTGTCCCAGTGCAGGCCCATCCCCGCCTCTCAACCTCAGCCCTCTTCTTCCATTCACAGGTAAATGCCAGCTTCCCCAGCCTGCCTTCCTATCTAACCCAACCCCCAGGCAAACTCCACATGTCACCCCCAAGATAGCAGTGCCCTGTGTCACTCACAGACATTTCCCCAACCAGACAGGAACACCCCACGGGCAGGCCCAGGCCCCACCTTCCCCTTCTACCACCGTGCAGCCAAACTCAGGTGGGCTTGGGGTCACCTGCAGCCCAGGGCTTCCCCACAGGCCCTCCTGGGTTAGGGGTCCTGTAGGCCTACAGGACTCCAACCCCTCTCCCACCTCTGCTCTGCCACCAACCTGTGTGTCACCAGCGAACGGATCAGGACCAGGAAGGTGAGTGAGCAAGACAAGACCAAGGCCGAGATGTAGCAAACTGGAGGGTGGAGAGGGAAGAAAGCAGGAGGTCAGGGCCTGGAGGGCCTTTCAGGAGCCTCTGAACCGCTGCCAGGTGGTGCCTCAGGAGTGACCCCGGCTCCTCACCCCACTCTGAGTGGAGGCCTCTTGGCCAAGTCCCCAGTTCTAGGATCTGGGTGGCCAGTGACTTAGGCCACCCCACCTGCCCTGTGACATATGGTAGCCAAGATGGGGAGAGGCCAGCACTGAGTCTGCAGACCTGGCCTTTACCCTGGTGTTGCTGCTTCCATTGCTGTGTGACCCTCAGTGAGAAACTCCATCCAACCTGGCATCTGCCTCCAGCTCCACCACTTCTTGGCCATGTGGCCTTCAGCGGGGCACTCCATCTCCCCAGGCCTTGGTTGGCTCGCACACATGCTGCCAGGCGCACTGCTGCGCTGCCTCTCTCCCAGGACAATGCAGCCATACAACCCCGTCCATGCCTGTGCCAATGGCCTTTGCTCTGAGCACAGGGGTTGTTAGTCCACATCAGTGTGGCCTGAATCTATCAGAACTAGGGAAGTGGCCATCTCTTCTGGGGTGTGGTCATCCCTCCTCCCCACTCCCTCCCCCGACCCACGCCAAGCACACAGATAATGAGATTGCTGTGTCCACAGCTGCTGGGAAAGAGCGGATGGTGTGTCATGAACAAGTCCGGGTATTTAAGAATATCAAGCGTGCAGGCTGCAAGTCTCCCACCCTACATCCTCATCCAGCCTAGCTCTAGACCCTCACAGCAACCCCATGAGGTCAGACAGAGGAATTGCTCCTGCTGAGCCAAAGAGGATGCTGAGGCTCAGAGAGAGGGCCTGACCCAGCCCGCCACACTGCTAGGAAGTGATGGAGGGAGGTGTGCAACCATTTCGAAGCAGCTCCAGAATGAGCCCCAGGCACCTGCATCCTGATCTCGTCGGCAGCCCAGGGAAGAGTTCCTGGTTCCTATGCCCCCACCAGAAACTCAGGAGCGGGTAGAACAGGCACAGATGGAAGGGCCAGCACTTGATCCACATAGTCATAGGCTCTAGAGAAGTGGGTCTTGTGCTGGCAGCGCCTTAGGACCACCTGGAGCTGCTCAAATTCCCCATTGCCTGGGCTGCATCCGGACCAGTTACATCAGGATTTCTGAGGATGGGACGCAGGCCTGGCTTTGTGAAAGCAACACTGGTGACTGCAATGTGCAGCAGGGCTGAGAACCACTACTCTGGTTGCTTTCCAAAGGCAAAGCCTTCACAACTTATTTCTATCAGCAATGGATTGAAATCAATCAACCAGGCATCACTTACAGTGGTTCTCTAATTTTGCTTCCATTAGAGTCACCAGAAGGGCTATTCAATCACAGAGGCTGGGCCCCGTCCTCAGAGTTTCTGATTCAGTAGGTCTGGGGTGTGGCTTGAGCACTGGGAATTTTCAAAAGTTACTAGGTAGTTCCCAAAGGCAGCCATGGCTGAGAATGATGCTACAGAAACCCAGGGCTGCTCTACCTGCCCCTGGATCTTGCCTCTAGTGCCCTTGCAGGGCACTTTTCTGTAAAGTGGTTGGGAGAAAGCACTGGGCACGCATAACTCGGGCCTGCTGCACCACCCCTTCTGGAGCCAGCTTGGCTACAGTGAAGGTACATTCTGGACCATTTGCTGCCAGGAGGTGAGGAGCCTGCCTGCTAAGCCTGGCCAGTGAGTGAATAGGCTAACACAGGGGGAAGGGTTAGCAAGCCCCCTTGGCCACAGGCTTGGCTTTTGATCTCCATCTGTCTACCTCCTGCCTCTCTCTTACCCCACTGGCTCCAAACTTGGGTTCCTCTATACCCCAGAACCAATAAAATCTTCCTGCCCTTGGCCACCTCTAGGATCCTGCACCTGCCCCCTACTGGACTCTGCTTTGTGGATAGATCTGTCTTTCCCCCACCAGATCAAGGGCCTCAAGGACAAGTGTGCCTTTTTAGCTTCAGCACCCATTTTGCAGGTAGGGAAAATGAAGTCAGGAGAGATGAATAGGCTTGCCCAAGGCCACACAGCTTCAAAGTGATGAAGCAGAGATTCTAATCTGGTCGACCTGACCCAGAGTCCAAGCTTTCTGTGAATGATGCCAGGCTTACGGTTCAGGTGCCCATGAGCAGCCCTAAGAGAAGCTCTCAAAGTGCAGAAGACATTAACTTCTTAGGCTAAGAACAGACCAAAGGGCCCCCAAACACAGATCTGATCTTGCTTCCACCTTGGATTGCTGAGCGGTGTTGGGCATATCTCTGATCCTCCTTGGCCTCAGTTTTCCTTATCTGCAAACTAGGAGAGTAAACACTGCTCTGTTTGGTCCCTGCATCCAAGAAGATCTAAAATAAGAGAATTTGAACTTGGAAACTGCAACATGTGATTATAAATAAAGGTGTGATGAATAGAAGCAGAATCTATTGCCCTGGATATGTCACTTCTTGCCTCAGATTTCTTGCTGCGTGAGCTGGAATCAACAATGCTGACCTAACCGGGCTGCTGTGAGCAGGGGTCTGAGCTTGGATGTGGGCTGAGCTGTTCCTGCCTGTGACCCAGGTTGCAACTAGCTTGGAAAATCTCCCTAGAGATGGTATTTTCAGCCCACCCAGAACTTGTCACCTGTCTAGCTTGTGGGCCTCAGCAGCAGTTCCAGTGTAGCCTCTGGTCTGGGAGCCAGGCCACTCAGGAAGGTGGCATGGTGGTGGTCAGGTTAGGAAGCAGTTACTGCCCACACCTTTGGCCACTCCCCACTTTCTGCCCCTCTCCATTGCCAGCACACCCAGGTCCAGCCCAGGTCTGCAGGATGAGGATGATGTTAACAGTCAGTAGCAGCTGCAGAGCAGCGACACCTTCACCTGCAATGCTGGTAGCCTAAGCTCTGACCATTGCATGTTACCCCTCAGAAGCCAGAGTGCCCATACCAGCCCAGGTCTCCAAGCCAGCTGAGGGTGCAGGGCCCACAACTCCTGACCACCAGGCTTTGTCTGAAGGTGGTGGAGAGAGGTCCATCCTGGGCTTCAGGAGGTTTATGATCTCTTGGTTTCACTCTGCCCTGCTGTATAAGCTCAGGAAAATCTTTCCCCATGTGTCAAGTGGGGGCTCTTCTCAGTCTCCTCCACAGGGCTGTCGGAGGGCCCAGGAGGTAGGGTAGGTAGGTAACTGCAGGGCTAAGGGCTGCAGGAGGCACCAGGCCACAGAAGGGGAGGCTGATATCATTCCCTGGCTCAGGGACTTATTGTCAGGGGAGGGAAGGAGGAATGGAATAGCCCAAGAGGACAGAGATTAGGGAAGAGAAAGTGTGTGCCCTGTTTAACCCCAGCCCCCTGCCATGATAGTCCTCATGACAAGCACCCCACCTCATTGCCTCCTTTCCTCCTTCCCCACTCTCTGCTCATGTGTCCCATGGCCTTCCCCATCTCCACACCTCCAGAGTTGGTCAAAGACGGTGGGGGTGGGATATGTCACACAAGCTGACAAAGGACAGGAGGCTGCTGAGATGGTTGCTTCAGGTCTCAGAAACTTGGAACTGGCAATTAGGAGATGAGACAATTGAGACCCAGAAAGAGGAAGGAATGTGTCCAAGGACCCCCCCCCCATATGTCCATGGCAGGCTGGGACTGAGCTCAGGATCCCAGCTCACATCCCAGCAGTGACCCTCAGGGACCCTCAGAGGCCTCACCTTCCAGAGCCCACAGATGGTGCTTCACCAGCTCTACCACCTCCTGTCTGTCCTCTGAGAGCACGATCCCAAAGCCAGCCAGCAGGTAGGAGACATCTGTGGTGACCCCTGCCCTCACCTTCTGGATGGTGGGTACCACACCCACCAGCAGCAGCAGGGCCACCTGGAAGAGCCCCACAGTGAGCGCCAGGGCATGGCTATGCTCACACCAGGCACCCCTACCCCAGGAAAGGCATTTTCTTCAGTAAAAAACTCTGGCAGCCATGTGCCCATGGCCCCTCAGAGTGTCCTTATCTGCCTCTTAGAGCAAGGTTCTCATGCCTCTAAACAGTATGTTACAAACACATACAGCTTTATCCTAATAGGCCAAAGACAGGCCTTCAAGCAGCACAACTGTATATCGACACCTCTATCGTCCATATCTATCTATCTATCATCCATCTAAACTTCGAAATATAAAATTTCTAATTTTTCCGTGTTGGAGAAAGTAAATGAGCACAGGCATTAAAGCTAGACCAACCTGTGCTACCCTGAGACATTAGCTGTAGAAACTTGGCCAAGTCAAATTCACCTCTCTGAGCCTCAATTTCCCCCATCTGTAAAATGGAGACAAATCATACCTACCTCCCAGGATTTTAATTTTTGTTGTTTGGGGTTTTTTTTGGTGGGGGGGAGGCGGTGCTGGTGTTGGGGGGTTTATTGATGTTGTCTCACTAAATCTTCCCAACTACCCAAAGGGAAAGTAATTCTATTTCTTCTGTTTTACAGATGAGCTGCCAGGTTCAGAGAGATTGAATAACTTGCCTAAGTTCACACAGGGAGTAAAAAATGGAGCTAGGATTTAAAACCATCTTTATGTGACTCGAAAACCCATGCTCCGAGTCACTATACGAGCGCAGTGAGTTAGCAGCCCACTCCCTTCTGGGTAGGCCAGCATTCTTAAGATGGCCAGAGCAGCCGGACAGGATTGTGCGTAGGGCATTTGGAGAGCTGAGATGATTGAGCCTGAGCTGTTCCAGGCTTGGGGGTCAAGGACAAGGGTCCAGAGGTAAATGGTGCTATGGGGTACAGGACATACCTGGTAAATGGCGGCCCCTGTCAGGGTAGCTGAAAGCACCAGCTTCAGAGGGAGGCGGAATCCTGCAGTCCCCAAAAGAAGGGGTGTGGTGAAGAGCAGCACCCAGGCCTGGGAGCCCCCATCCCTCCCAAGGGGTCCAGGAACAGGGCCAGGGCTCACAGGACCCTGAACCAAGGCCAGGCCAGGGTCTTCCGCTTGTCTCAAGCAGGCAGTTGTCCCTCCTGATAACAAGGGTTCTGGCGACCAGGAGTCGCCCCCACTGCAGCTGCTCTGTGCAAGGGAAGGCTGAGGTCATCTGTCACTCTTGGCCTCATACCTCGCTGTGGAATGTAGACGTAGTGTCTGAAGCCGATCCAGGCCCAGGACAGGAAGCCAGGCTTGGAGGTGTGGGAGCTGCAGAAAGACTCAGCCAGGCGGGGCCCTCGGGAGAAACCCTGCCCCACGGCCAAGCCCAGTGTCTGACCATTCCTCCCCTCTGCCCCAGCCATGCTGCCCAGCGCCAGCCTCCCAAACATGCCTGCTCAGCACTGCTCGGCCCTCACCTGCTTTCCAGTGTCTTCTGCTGGCAAAGGAGGTTCCTCAGGTACTCCTCAGAGTAGCTGCTCTGCAGCCCCTGTGGAGACAGCTGAATGGACAGGCAAAGGAGACCTGCCTTGAGCCAACCCTGGGGCCCTAGCCCAGGGCGCTAGAGTGGATACCACATAGAAGCCCCAGAAAAATACTCTTGATGGTAGTGCTGGTGGTGGAGAGTGGGGGCGGGGTGGGGCTGACCTGTGGGGCTCAGGTCCATGCCCTCCAAAACTGCCCTTTTCTCGTCCACATGTACAAGACCAGCCAGTCTCCTATTGAAGAACCCTCAACGCTGGGAAGTTCTTCCTAAGGTCTGTCTCCAACTCTCTCCTGATTTACTCAGTCACATCTCATCACCGCTTCCCTCCCAGCCCTCTGGCCTCTGCTACCTGAGACTGGGGCAAAGGGCAACCTATGTCTCATGGACACGTCTATGACCACAACCCAGAATGGGGCCATTCCAGGTCAGACCCTCCAGGCCTCTCCTCCTGCTACTGGAGGAAGATCACAAGGGTGACTGGATTTGTCTAAGCCACATTCCAGGCTTTAATCTGCCTGTGAAATGGCAGAGGCCCATGGGAGGATGGGGTGGGCCACTGCCCTGGATCACTGGGAGCACACAGACAATTGTCACCTGTTGCTACGGCAACCCTGAGATCCAGGGCAGGAGTGGGTCAGCTCAAAGCTTGACTGGGTCCTTTGAGGCTTAAACCTCTTTGACCAAAGTCTAAAGAGGATTTTGTTCCTCTCAAGACTCGGGAGGAGAGTCTTGCAATGGAGGGGGAGGTGAGGCAGAGGAGTCTGGAAGAGGAGGTAAAAGGACTGGCAAGGCAGAGCTGTGCCTGGTGTGCTGTGTGTCCCCAGGGAGCAGCACCCCTCTTCTGAGCCAGCTGTAAAGAGGAGGGGAAGATGGGCCTCCTCCGAGGAGTATGAGTGTCAGGAAGGTAGGAGTGACAAGTACTTAGAACCATATTGCCTACCATGCACAATCCAAACCAAGGCTCAGTGGGCCTGTGTGGGACCCAGGGCTGCCCCTTGGGAACTTGAGCCCTCCCGGCCTCTTTCCTCACTCTCCATCCCTCCTCAGAATCTCACTCATTCTCTGGCTTCAGTCTGTTGATGCCCAAGTTAAGACCCAGTCCAGCCCCTCTCCTGAGCTGCAGACCTTATGCAGCATGCACCCATGACCGCATCACCCCAGGTGCACACCTGCATCCACCTCCCACGGGCCAGCAGCTGGCACCCCACCTACCTGCTGTCTGTCTTAGGCCTCTGTGTCTTCAAGCCCTTAGGCCTCTGTGCCTTCAACCTTTCTTGTGCCTGTCTCTCTTCCCCTTTGGGGGCCTCTGTGGGGTTTTCCTCTCCTCCCCATCTCATCAGGAAGAGTTACGTGATCCCGCCCGCACCCGGATTCCCATGGCATTTGGAGGAGCCCATTGCACATTTCACATTGCACTGTGCTTGTCCCTGCATCTTTCCTCCCCACCCCACCACCCACACACCCACCCCACCCCACCCCCTGCCACACACACACACAGACTGGGAACTCCTGGAGGTCAGACACAGTCAGTCAGCTTTGAGTCCACAACACCATGCACTGGGTCTGACTCATGGCAGGTGCTTAGAAGGCAGGTGCTTTAGAAGATCACAATATCTTTTAAGAATTCTCTCTCACCATGATGTATTCATTGATCCAAAAATTCAAAAATATTTGCTGAGTATCCATTATGCTGCAAATATAGTCATGAACAAAATAGACACAAACCCATCCTCTTTCCTTTGCCTGCAATGCCTTCTTCTTATTCTGTACCCACTCCAGATTCTCCCTGTCCTTCAGGCCCCTACTAAAGTCTACCTCCTCCAGGAAGCCCTCCCAGACCTCCCCTTTATCTGACATTATCCAACCATATCCAACCTAGAGTTGATTCATCATGCAGTTCTGCCCTGAGTACTTCCTGAATCACTTCAGCATCTGCAGAACTCTGATTAGGCACAAGGCTCCTGGCCTGCCTCACTTCTCCAGCTGGATCCTCAGTGTTTCAAAGACAGAGCTATGACTTTCCTGTCTCCTGACCCAGTTCTCCTTTATTGAGTCCCTGCTATTCATACAGCCCAGTGCCCTGGGTATCCTGGGTGCCAGTCAAAGGCCCAGCTCAGTCTTTGCCAGGGAGGGAGGACTAAGCAGTCACTCAGTGACTCAGCAAACATTTCTGAGAACCTATTACGTGCTCAGCCCTCCACCCAGCATGGCCATGTATATAGACATGGGGGAGTCCAGGGTGTCTTGGGTGCTCAGTAGGAGCCCACCCCAACCCTGGCCCTTTACCTCGGAGCCAGCTCCTGTCCTACGGCTGAAGCTTCTCACCAGCTGCACTGGGTACCAAAGGCTCAGGAATCCGAGGCCCAGAATGAGAGGCAGAGAGGCCAGCAGGGAGTAGTACTTGTAGATCTGGACAGACAGACACCCAGACAGACCTACCTTCTGCCTTCCTCCCCCAGCAGACAACCAGAATCTATTTTCCTTCCCAAGTCACACTGGGCCTGAGGATAATCTAGGGTGCCATGGGAAGGCTTTTGGTCCTATGGCCCCCCAACCTGCCACCCAGCACAACGTGCCCACTTCTCCTCCTTGGGCCCTCCCCCCAGTCTTCTGGATTCCAACGGGCCTAAGAGGAGCCAAAAGGGAGAAGGTTACACGATCCCTTCCTCACTAGTGGGGCTAGAATGAGCCCTGCACAGAGGACACCCACTTTCTATGTTCCTGTGTTCCTGGCGCATTAGGACAGAGACCCCTGAAAATCAGACAAAGGCCTGATTTTGTCTACATTCAGTTTGCAACCTGGGCATCAGGGAAGTACACACCCTACCTCCCAGGGTTGAGGCCTTCCTGGGTGCTGGGCCCCTTCATTCATTTACTCATTCATTTATATGTTAATTCAATATGCTTTTATTGAGAGCTTAGTGTGTGTTATGTTCTAGGTGGTGAAAGAGACTCACCAAGTCCCACCCTCTGAAAGAAACCTCCTAATTTTCACCTCCATCCTGAAGGATTGGTGTTATCAACCCCATTTACAGGTGTGGAAACCGAGTCTCAGGTGATGCTGTTTCCTCAAAGCACTTAGCCCCATCTGGCATCCCTTCATTTATTTATTTATTGTGTCTCCCCTTCTGGAATGAAAGCTCTTGGAAGGCCAGGGACTTTGTCTTGTTCATAGCTGGATTCAGCACCTGGAAATATCCCTGGTACAGAGTATGTGCTTCACATTTGTTTGTTGAATGAATGAATGGGTGAGTGAATTAATGAAGTGTTGAAGCTGGATTCAAATTCACATTGTGTAGCTCCAAAGCCTGCACCATCATTCTCTGAGTTCTAGACTGGCAGCTTCACACCCCTAGCCAGCAGCCAGCAAACCTGGTTCTGAGGTTCTGGAATTCTCCTTTTATCCCTGAGACCATCCCCCCACCCATTGCTCTTCACTTCCATTCCCACTGCAGCCTGACCAAAAGGAGGGCTGGGGAATCAGTAATGGGGCATTTCCGACTTCCTCTTATTCCTACCACATCCACTCCCCTCCCTGCACCCTCCTAGACTGAAAGCTCCCAATGACAGGGCCCAGCTGCTTTGTCCCCTGCCTCACCCAAAGAGAAGCCAAGCTTGGAAAGGGCATGTGTTTAAAGGAGTGGAATACTGTGCATACTGGGAAGCCCAGCACATCAAAGGAGATAAAAGGAACCACACTGGTTTAACAGGCTCCTCTGTGTGTCCCTCTGCCCTAGGCCACCGTGAGCTAGTGGTTACCTTGGGTGTCTGAGGACACTCTGCCCTCTGCCAGACCTGGACCCCAAAGTGGGCCCAGGACAGCACGCTGCCAAGCAGATGTGCGGCTCCATGCCTGGCTGTGGCACAGGCAGCCAGAGGGTAGTAGAGGACAGGGTAATACAGCAGGGCCAGCATTTTCCAGGGCCCTGGAAGGCAAAATAGGAAGAGAGACATGTGCTGGAGGAGCATGCATGAGGCCTGGGGCCAGCCCACGCATGCTTTTTCTCCTGTCTCCAGCAGCCAAGCCCCTCAGCTGGATCAGTGAGCAAGAGCCCCTGGTTCAAATCCAGGCTCTGACTAGTATCAGCTCTGTGCTTGGGCAAGTTACCTCTTGGGGTCTCAGTTTCCCACTCTGTAAAATGGAAATAATTGCAGTATGTTAGCAAGGATGAAATGAGAAGGCATAGGTACAGTGCTTAGCAGAGCACCTGAGTAAGTATCCAGTAAATTAAGCTGCTACTTATTGTTCCCTTCTCTGACCCTCAGTTCCCTCCCCTGCAAAATGGGACTAATATCCATACTTTGCAGGTCATTGTGAGGGTTGGATGATCTAAAGAGGTCATGCTGGGGGGCAGCAGCCGTTCCCATTGACAGCGGTCCTTGTTACCATCACCTCCTTGAGCCAACCTGAACATTCCAGGACCCCACCCTTCTCCCATCCGATCAAGCCCCAGGGCCTCCGCTGCACTGGGTACCTGGGCTGGGTGGTGAGATGAGGGTCAGGAAGGGCAGTGGGTCTTCGTCCAGCAGTAGCAAACACATGGAGCTGAAGAGGACCATGAAGACAGCAGCAGGCACCATCCAGGGCCTATCCCCAGCCCAGAAATCCACAGGGCTGGCACAGAGGCAGGGACAGGACAAGAGGGAGCTGCTCAGCCCCTGCGCCCTCATTACCTCCAGGCTATGTTCCATAAACTGGGAGGTAGAGTCATTCCCACCTTGCAGATGGGGAGACTGAGGCCCCTTCATGCATTCATTCATTCCATAGATATTTGTGGAATGTCTCCTATCTACCAAGCTCTAAGGCCCTGTGGCAAAGAACTCGGAACACACACACAGTGGGAACAAGCCCGAGTGCTGCTCCCTCCGCCCACCCTGGAATCTTCAGGAAATGACCGCCTCCATGCTCATCGGTCTGTCTTTCTGAGCTGGCAAACCTTCAGAGAGCACAGCGAGTCACAACATCCTTGTGCAATGGACGCCGCCCTGGGCCGGGTGTGGACCCGGGACAGGGAGCAGACAGCGGGCATGGCTGTCCCAGACGTCACGCCCCCAGGCTCAGGGCAGGCCACTCAGATCCTCCGCTTCTCCATTCCAGCTTGCCCTCATGCTCTGCGAGCTACGTCATGCTTCATTCTCCCCCAAACACCCCTCTCCCCCAGGCAGGGCAAGCTCTTTCCTGGACCAGCCAGAGACCCCAAGCTGGCTTCCCACAAAACCAGCACAGCAGGACCCACTGCAGTGTGCAGCCCGGGTCTGGGGTGCTAGTCTGTCTATACTGGGGTTCTACCACCATCTTCCCTAACCCTTGGTCTCTCCCACACTGGGCTGCCTGAGGAGGTATATCCTGAAGCTGGGTCCTGCTGGGCTCATATATCCCTGGGGTCTGGGTTGGAGTCCTTTCTCCCTATGTCCTGGACAACAGGAGCAGGAGGACCTGGGCAGATCCCTTCCCCTCTGTGGGGGTCCTGACTAAACCTGCAGATCTGGGTGGGGGTGGGCAGAGCCCCCAGGCTGAGAGAGGCAGGGAGGGGGGTGGTCACTAAGGCCAGAGCTGGTTTTTAGGTACCTAATAAATCACCCATTCTCCCAGAGTGGCCCTATCACCTGGGCCCTGAGTGGGGGTGCCCAGGCCACAGCACCAACCTGGGCAGTCCAGGCCTGCCATGCCCACAGTCAGGCCAGAGGTGGCGGCGCCTCACTAGTGCAGCCAGCAGCAGCAACACAAGGATCTGAAAGAAGAGCACAGAAGTGGGCTTGGGGTCCCCAGGCCTTCCCTGAGAGTCTGAGTCTGAGGGCTTGGCCTCAGTCCCCAGGACACTCATGTGGCATCTTGGGGACTGGCCAAGAGTAACAGAAGTCTGGAAGGTTGGACTTGGCCGACATCCTGGTTTGAGCCCTCACCCTGGGAACACTCCCAGATACCCCCTCCCTGGGGCTCCCAGCATCTTTCTTCACCAGCCCCAGCACGGAATACAAGTTCCCCTGCCCAGGCTGGCAGCAGGTTACAAGCCAGAGTGGACTCAGGTTGGACTTACCGACAGCGAGGCCAGGCAGGCATGGAATAGGCCAGGTGGCACACTGGGGTAGCAGGAGGGCACTGCCCTGCAGAGCAAACAACAGCTGGCTCAGGCCTGGGTAGGGCCCCCCTGAGTGTGCAGCTGTGTCTGGGGTTTAAGGTTGTCTACCCTGAGGCCCCACCCACTACTTCTCTCAGCCCTCTGATCTCTCCTACACATTCCTGCCTAGATCCACCTTCTCAGGGTCATTCCAGAGCCCTCATGCCCCTATGGTGTGCTGGTCCCATGCCAAGGTCTGGAGTCATAGGGATGAAGGAGGCAGGAGGCTCCCAGGGAAGCAGAGTGGGCCAGCTCGGCCTGAACACCTATATGTACTCACCCAGATGCTTCCTATCCTCCAGGCCCACTTCATCCTTCCCCCTCCAGGAAGGCTCCCTGACTGTTCCTTGGCCTCACAGACCTCTTCTCAGAACTGTCATTGAGCATACTACCTGGGTCAAGCAATCAAGTATTCAGTCCTACAATTTGCCCTCCACTTACCAGTATCTGAGATTGGTCTGTGCCTGGAATGATCATCCCTCTTCCCTCTCTTTTCCTGTTTCCCTCTCATTAAGGGCCTCTGTGTATGGCTGGGTAGGTTGCACACTGCACAAGCATGCCCAGCCATGGGAATGAGTGCAATCTGAAGTCCAGGTCCCACTACTCACCACGCCCCACATCTACTGAGCTAATACACCTAAATGGGGGTCCCTTTTTCTAATTATCACAGAGGCTCCCTATGGCTTGGCAGAGGGCCTGCTTTCACCATGGCTGAGCACAGAGGTAGGCCCATGGTGGAGATAAAGAGATCTATAAGGATAACAAAAGCCTCAACTTCCCCAGCTGGCTCGTGTGGTAGAAAAGGGGATCAGGCAGAAGCCCTGAGTTCAGGGCTAGACCTAGACGTGGGACAGCAGGCAGAACTGGTTACCTGGGGAAGGGTCTGCCCAGCTTGAGCCTGGGGGTACCAGAGGGAGAGCAGCAGTGTGGGCAATGGCAATGAGATCTGTGGAGCAAGGGTGAGTCTGGATGCCACCCACATCAGAGGCAGCATTCCACATCACCCAGTCCCTGCCACACATCCAGCTTTCTGCTGAGCCATATCTAAATACCCCAGCCCAGAGCTGGCTGTGACACCTGGCCCCCAGCCAATGTCTGGGCTCTGAGGCTCCCAAGGACACAGTTTCAGATTAGGGCCTTAACCTAGGTCAGGATTTCGTCCTCACGGGGTTCCTGGGCCCCTCTCCATTCTGCTCCCTCCCCCAACCTACACGGCAGGACATGGGGAGACCATAGGTTCTCGAAGTCAGCCGGGGAGGCAAGTAGGGGCACACCCTTGCTGACAGCAGGGCTGTTATCCAGGTGGTCAGAACCCTGAGTCCTCCAAACAACAGCTCTTTGCCCCAGGCCCAGGTGGGGCCTCTGTCCCTGCTGAGTGACCCAAGCCTGGCCAGACCGCAGCCCCAGCCCCAGGGGAGGCACACGAGCATTTTTCCTTCTCCAGTTTTGGATTTTGATGGAGAACAGATGTGCACACATCTGGCTCGGCAACCCCTCAGCCTCACCTTTCTGGTTCCCCAAATCCTCAGACAGAGCAGGGAGGCAGGGGATGGGCCCAGAGCCAGGAACAATAAGGGAGAAAGAGCCCTTGGTCCCACACAGGCAAGCAGTCCTCGGCAGCAGGTAGGGGGCACAGAAAGGCCCAGCCCCTCCACCAGGTGCCCAGACTAAACAAAGGTAGAAAGGGTGTGGGCAAAGGCAGCCAGGGATGGGCTGAGGCTGCCTCCCTCTCTCCCCACCCTCGCCTGGGCTGGCCTGAGCACTCTTGCTAAAGAGAACAGGACCTCCTCGTCCTTCCAGAGACTCTGAGACCATCCAAAGACAACAGGGCAGCATGTCTCCTCAGTGACCTACCCCCAGGCTTTCTTCCTCAGTTCTCTGCCTCTCCCCAGCCCACGCCCAGTGTGCCCAGAGAACCTGACACTGGTAAACACCACACCCCAAATGATCACCACCAAGACCACTAACCTCTTGAAGGCGAGCCAGCTTCCTTCAACTGCCCACCCCCCACTCCCCCATTCTGGCTACTGGCCAGATCTGCACCCAGGGAGCCACCCCAGACCTGCTGGATCTGAATCTGCAAGGAGGGGGCCCAGTAATCTGTATTTCTAATACATTACACAAGTGCTTTTTAGGTGACCAGCCTGGTCTGGGTCTCCCACCTCAAGCATTTTAATAGCAGGGCAAGGTTCTCATGTAACAGATGCGAAAACAAGCCCAGAGAGGCTGTGACTTGCTCAGGGTCACACAGCAAACAAGTGGCAGAGCTGGTCTCAGCAGCCCTTGTGCACCCCCAGCCACAACCAATTGGTAATCTCTGCCACATCCTACTGTGAGTACCCACAGAGCCTAGGACTCCACACTTACCCCTCGGGCTGGAGCTCGGTTCCGCCCTGGGGCTCATCGATGTACCAGCTGCCATAGGAGTAGTCATCCTCAGTCCCGGAGGAGGTCTGGTTCCCAGCTACCTGGGACGACATTCTCAGGCCCTTCTCCTTTGACCCCCAGACAAGAAGAAAAAAGCCACTACAGATGTGAAAAGAGGCTTAAAAGAAAAAAAAAAAAAAAGAAAGAAAACCCAAACAAAGAAACATTTCTCTTTAATCCTAAAGGTTACTTTCTTGCTTTTAGCTCTCTGGGAAAAACCCCTCAGGGAAGGAGGGCGTGGGCAGGCTGGCTGGAGGAGGGGAAAGGCCTCTCACGTCCCCTCCTGTCCTAATCTTGCCTGGTCCTGCAGTGATAGGTATCCCCTCGGGGATAGTGCACCTCCTCAGGGGCCCTGGGCTCTCAGGAGCATCTGTCTGTCTCGACAGCCATCAAGCAGGCTTTGGCTCAAAGGACCATTTTCAAAGATTTGCCTGGGCCGAGCTACCCACAAAGACCACTTCCTTCCTTCCCCCTCCTCAAGCCCACCGGACTGACCCACAGACACACCAGAAGGGAGGACAGGGAGGAAGGAGCTGCAGAGATGAAAGGGTGGGCGGGCTGCCCTCGGGCTCCACACAGTCTGCCTGGGCCCTCCCTCCTGGGCTCCCCGCCCCTCCTGCTCCCAGGGGTTCCAGTCCAAGCTCCCCCTTTGTTCAGGCTCCCTTGAGACCATCCCCAGCCTCAGCCTGCACCTCTCTGTCCCCTTTGGGCCTCAGTGTTGGGAACACACCATAATCCTTGACAAAACCCCCCTCCTGGGGAAGGAGGCCCCAGCTCCACTGACAGCCTGAGCCCCGGAGGGATGTGGCCAGGAGCGGCCCCCCAGCCCCCCGCACCTGATCGCACATACATACCTGCCTTCAGCACCTGCCCCAAAGCTCCCACACCTTTGCCTGCCACATCTGCAGTGCCCCACATGCGAGTCCAGCTTTACAGCCACCCCAGGAGACAGGCCACTGGAACTGGGCCGGGGGCAGAGGCAAGGAGGGGGAGCCAGTCCGTTCCTTCTCCTGGGGTTTCCATGGAGGAGGCAACATGTGTCTCACTGGTCAAACCTTTTTTGTTCCTACAGCTTGATTTCACAAGGAGATAACTCACCCCCACATGGTGGAAATTAGTCCTTTAAACACAAACCAGACCCACGGGTAGGCAAGAAGAGTCCCGCTGGCCTCCTGCTCCTCCCGAGGTGTGGGGTGAGGGTGAGGGTGCGGCCTGGGCAACAGCAGGGTCCCTCCCCTTCCTCCCTGCCCTGCGCAGCTGGACCCCTGGCAGGCTCCCCTCCCTCTCCCTGGCCCAGCCCGAGGGGCGACAAGATGCTGATGAAGGCACAGAGCAGTTCTCGGGCCACTCTCCCTGGGCAGAAGTTCAGGCCCCCTGAGACTTTTAGGGTCCTTTCAATATTCCACAGGGGTCTTGGGCCATGGCCCTACCCAGCTAAGGCATTCATTCAACAAGATTTTTTTTAAAAAGACGTTCATTCATTTATTCTTTTAACATACATTTATTGAACACCTACTATGGGCCAGCACTGTTCTGGGTCCTGGGATGTGAGAGATTGCAGTTTGGGGGGTGCACAGACAGGTAAGTAAATAACCTCAAGAGTCCGAGGGTTACAAAGATAAGGCACAGGGTGCTCTGGGGGTACCATGGGAAGTCGTATTTGGTCCGTGAGCATCGGGATGAAGGTGGGGGGAGATTCCTGAAGTAAATTTCAGTGGAGATGTGAAGGGCAGGGAAACATCAGCTGAGTGGAGGGTGGCGGTGATTGATGGTGGGATGGGGGGACATGTTCGTGATAAAGGAACAGCATGGGTGACATCTTAGAGTAGACAGGGCTCCTAAAGGCTCCCCCTCCAGATTCCTTAGTCAGGCCCACAAGGCGGGATTAGGGCCTTAGTTCCTCCCCCTTCTTCCCAGATGGCCCCTCTTCCAGGAACAGGGCTATGACTCCTCCTCCCCTGTCCCACAGGATGTCAGCGTCTGCTGACTCAGAGCTGAACCTGGACTTTATCTGATGCAATGCAGGAGCACACGCTGGCCCATCTGATCCCAGGGATTCGGGCTGAACCCTGCCTCCCAGGCCTGGGTGGAGCTCCCTGAGGCCAGAACTCTGCCTCTTCTTCCCACCTTCTCCCTCCTGCCCCTGACACACAGGGCCTGGTCCTGGGATCCTGGGATCAGAGGGACTTTGGAAGTTGAGTGACCATCGTCATCCATGGGCCTGTCCCATGCAGTCTGCTGCTGTGTCCTGGGGCTCACTAGCTGGGCTTTTCAGATCCCCCTGCTCCCACACCAGAACCAGGCAGTCCCCTTCCTGCTCAAGGGTTTCAGACCCTCAGCTTAGGGAGCTACCAACTCCTGTCTGATTTTAAATCCCCCCCCATGATACCTCCGAAAATTGGAGACCAGTCCCAGACAAGGAGCTCACTCCCCCTGCAATGCTGAGATGACAACCATGAACATCTCCACCTGTCAGAAACCACATCCTTCCTTGGGGGGATCCTGACTCTGCCTCCTCCCAAGCTGGTGCATTCATTCATTCACTCATCCAACAAATATTTCTTGTACGCTGACTATGTGCCAGGCAAAGTCCGTGTGCTGACAGTGCAGCAAGTCAGCAAGATAGATAACGTCCTGCACTTCAAGAAACTTAACGCATAGTGCAGGTTGGGGGAGACCAAACAAGTGCCATGAGGCAGAGGGTAAGCTGGAGGAAGAGCAGAGAGCGGACCAACAGGCAGCACGGTCAGGGGAGAAGGCCTCACTGATGAGGTGGTATTTGCCAGGTACCTGAAGAGAGAGAGGGAGGTACCCAAATGGGCACCGAGCAGAGGCATTCAGGCTGCCTACAGGAGCCTCCATCAGCCACAGGGGCCACAGCCGGGCCAGCAGAAGGGGGCCCCCGGCCAAGCCCAGGCGCAGTCCCTTCCCTACAGCACCCCCTCCCTGGACCAAATCGTGCTCCACCACCAAAGGGACTTCCTGTGGATACTGTCTCCCACCACTCCAGGGATAGCCCAGTACCGGTGATACCACCCCCTCACTGGTGAGATGCAGAAGCCACCTTCAGGGGGGCCCTAAACAGAGGGGAGCTTTGTCCCTCTCCCATGGTGTGGGCCCAGCAAACAGAGGGCAGCCTTGTGCCCGGGACGTTGGTTAGGGCAGGGCTGGGAAAGGGAAGGAGCAGGTGCAGAAGGTCAGGGCAGGGTTTCTCACATGGCTGTGGAAAAGGCTTGGTTAGAGAGGCAGCCTATCTTGGTTTGAGCCCTGGGGCTGGCTGTGTGACACTGAGTGTGTTGCTTCCCCTTTCTGGGTCTTGGCCCTGCCTTTGTCAAATCCAGCCTGGAAAGTCTTCAATTGTGGGCTCTCCTCTCCCCATGGCCCCCACTTCATGCCCTCGGTGACTTCATGGCCCAAGAATGTGGAACCAGCACACCAGCCACTGGTTGTAGCCAGAAGGCTAGAGCCACAGAGAGAGGCTGTGACTGAGTAGGTGTTCCCATGGCTTCCACCTACCCTCCTGGCCCCCAGCTCTCCCAACCACGGTGGTGGGGGCAGGAGGGCACGCTGGGTGGCCACATGGCTCAAGCTGGAAGGCAGACCCCATTTTCTTGATGGGGCTAGAATAGCTTTGAGCTCCATCTGCGAAATGAGACGATTAGCTCAGAGATGTTAGGAAGGATGCCACCTGGCCAGACAGCCAGCTGGCAAGGAGAAGCACTGGGAAGAGAAACATGGTCATGATGTGCCCTTACAGAATGTCTCCAAAGGCCTAGGCAGCAGAGTCCAGGGCCCCCTCTGGAGCTGGCTTTACAGGAGCGCTCATACCCAGAAGAGTCAGAGGCCATCCCCCACAATCAGGAGGCGAGGGGCTGGACAGGAGAGGTACTTGGGAGATGGAACTGCAGAAGCTCAGAGGGAAGGAAGGTGGGGAGAGTGGTGGTGAAGAGATGGCCTGAGCAGTCTTAGAGACTTCCTGGAGGAGGGGGCCTGGAACAGTCCAGAGAGGGTCAGGAAATGTAGCAAGAATAAGGTATAAGTGTCTTAGGAAAGCTGAGAAGGGGCACCTGGGAAGCAGAGAGAGGCAGGCAGGGGTCCAGCAGGCCTGCCTAGCTTTGGCCTGCATAAGCCCCTGTGGGCACATTCAGATGGGGCTGATGCCAATATCCAAGAAGCAGCCCAGGCCAGCAGGCTTCCTAGCTGGGCACAGATTGGGGGTGGCCAGGCCCTGCTCACTGTGGGAGGGGGCACTAAAAAGCTTCAGGACTCAGCCAATGAAGGTCATCTGCACATGGGCCATGCCTTGTCCCTCAGGCTGTAGCTGGCCCATGACGGCCTGAGGACAAGGTTTCTTTCCTCCTCCTGTTTTTGTTCAAGTTGATTAAACCTGAGGAATTTTTGCATCCAGGGACAGAGGGCCACATGCGTGCCCTCAGCAGCCTGTGGTTATCAAAAATCCCCAAAGGGCAAAGTGCTAAGCTCACCAGGAGGTGACAGACCGGGAGGAGAGGGAAGGCCGGCAGTGTCCTCAGGACCCCAGAAATACCCCCTGGGGCTCCCAGATGGTTCAGAGCATCTCCAGAATCTCAGCAACATTCCCAGAATTTTAGTAACACCACAAGAACCTCCAAAACCTCAGTATTGCCCCCAAGAACCCCCAGAAATTTAGTAACACACCAGAACCACCCAAATACCTCAGAAGCCTCAGACTCTGGCAAATCAAGTCCAAGCTGGAGCAAATGGTCAAGAGCCTGGGGAGCAGCTGCAGGAAGCTCAGAAACCCCCCATGCTCTCCCCCTCCCATCCCAGCTCTTGGCTCTGAGTCCAGCAGCACACCCAAAAGGCCTGCAAAACCAAACCTCAGCAACACCCCCGATCCCCACAGAACAGCAGAGAATGCCCAAGGGAATGCTTCAGTCCCGGAATGAGGGGTAGCCAATGTGCCTGCCCGTGCAGTGCCCCTGTCCCCAAAAAGCCCATGGGTAAGTGGCCAAGGCAGATTCAACCGCATGCAGGCCTGTGAGCTCAGGGTCTGCTCCCAGCACACACAGGTGCCTAACTCTGGCCCAAGACCAAATGTGACCCCACGCAGTGGGCTGGAAAGGAGTGCTGTTGGCTGCCAAGCTCCCGAGGGGAAGAGAGTGAATATCTTTTACCTCCTCCCTCCCCTGCCACGTGGGAGGGTCCGCAGGCCTGTGAGCTCAGGGTCTGCTCCCAGCACACACAGGTGCCTAACTCTGGCCCAAGACCAAATGTGACCCCACACAGTGGGCTGGAAAGGAGTGCTGTTGGCTGCCAAACTCCCGAGGGGAAGAGAGTGAATATCTTTTACCTCCTCCCTCCCCTGCCACGTGGGAGGGTCAGAAGCATCGTCTGATAGCCCCTTGCCAGCATTCTCACGCCCCCTCACCAATAGCATCACCAGAGCATGAGGGATAGAGGCTGGATGCTCTGGTGTGCATGTGGACGCTGGTGGGGAGTTGGAGAAAGGCAGCGGGCTGTTCCAGGAGAGCAGCGTGTTCTTCCCCTCCCAGACGGCCAGGCTAGAACTGACTAGGAGGAGGGAAGGTGGGGGGCAGATTGCAGCTTGGGACAAAGGTAGCTTTCTTACTCTCATGGAGTAGTGAGCTCCTCATCAGGGGAGGCAATCAAGAAGAGGCTGGTGACGAGACTCTAGAGGATTTTCTGCCTTTAGATGAGGACTGGTCAAAAGGTCATGAAGATTCATCAGCTATAAGACCCCCAGATTCTCCCTTCTCAGCACGTCCTCCCTGGGTAGTGCCACCATGGTCTGGCTTTGAGATGAAGGCTTCATGCTGCCCTCCTGCCTCATTAAGGACACTGATTGCTGGGAAGATCCCCTGAGTTCTCTCTCCTTGTTCCCCTCCTGACCACAGGACAGGGCTCTCCATCAGCCTCTTCCCACATGCAGCCAGACCCTGCTCACACATGACTCTTCCGACATATCCC